AAGATTCTTCGCCGACGAGCAAGTAAGTGATGCCATCTTCTCTGGTCGGCGGTGGTCGGTGGCGGCAAGCCTTCTTCCTCCTCTTCTTCTTTGAGTTTTTTCATGCCTCCTTCACTCCTCTAATGAGTGTAAGTAACATCAAACTCCAATTTTTTAGCTTAGATCTTTGAGCATGTGGTAGGTGTGAGTAGATATGAAGATAGTATGATAGGTTTTGAAAGTATTGCTTCATGGTGTTGTCTCAGGATTTGGTAGATCATATGTCGTTTTATTGGTATGGTAGGCTTTGCTTGCCGATAGTGATGATGTTGATTGTGTTGTCCTAAATTCATACTTATGTGCTAGTATGACATGTTCTGCATGTCTATTTCACAAATTTATGTGTGGACGTTGTAGATCATATGTTATCTTTGTCATATGTTGTATGCTAGATGCATGTTTTGTGGTAGTGTGTTGAGCTTCATGATTTCATTGTTGTGCAGTCCATGTATCAGGGCGATCGTTCTTATGAGGGTTGGTTCTACACATTGTAGTTCTCATCCTTATATCAGCTTCCCCCTTCTACATGACAACATGCAGTGAAGATTATTCATGCCTTACCCAATGATGCATGCTCAACATTTTTACCCTGATGCTTACCGTTGTAGTGATGCATTGTTCTTATTCACATTGCTATTACTGATGCTAACCATTGTAGGCATTGAAATACGTTGAGTTTAGTCATGGCCTAATTCTGTCGGAAACCCAGCCTTATCCACCATATATGATTGCTTGTCCTCCATGTTGATATTTTCTTCTTCTGCCTTGGTAGATGAAGTTGTATGTGGTGTACTCAGTGAGGGTTTGAGGAGTCTATAGTTCATGACATACTTTCCACGAGCAAGTGAGTGGTTACAAGAATAGTTGTCATAGAGGGTTTGAGACTAAAGTGGAGGTAGATGATGATTACTCCAAGTTCCTAGTCAAAGAGAAGAGCCGGCATGGAGTAGGCAAGGGTGCAGGTCATATCGGGTCAAGTAGGTTGAACGATTTCATAATATTCGTCCAATATGTCGTCGTTGTATATTTGTTGTTATCCTAACTATGCATGATCATAAGTACAATGCGATGACAACAGTGGTAGCCGGTAAACTCACCACATAGGGGGTGCATGGTAATCACAACAGGTCAAAAATGTGCAACCAAACACAATATCTGCATCAGCCCAAGACAATCCCAAAACACGGGCAACCAAACACCGGGGAGCATTGAGGCCCTCTCGTGCAGACTAGGGATTTGTGGATAACAAAGCAAGTTGCAAAACATGACCTAGAGCCTGCATTCCCCGCCTGGCCACGAGTGGAAGAGGCCAAAAACGGTGTGAGCAACCAAACACGTCAACGGTGATTATGGCCATTCCCCTAAATTTTCCTTTACGGGCTCATGGTGGGCCCCAGAATATGCTTGGAGCGTCCAAGTAAAACATGTTAAAAATATATGTTACAGAGGCACATGGATCTGTAAAAGAAACGTCGCTCCTGATCATCCATATCTGTATTTGTTACAGTACGTATATACTAGTAGTACTTCTCTCTGAAGGAGTCAATTTGTGGGTATCTGTCCTTGAACAGCGGGGTGCCTTCCTTGGGTTTTGACCAAGGGTACTTCATGGTTTTATCCCTTGGGAACTTTCTGAAGTTGACGAACGGTGCCCACAGCATCAACCTGCAGTTGAATATATGCTGAATTCAGTTGATGATATTACTGAGGGTAGAAGACTACTTAATTTCTACTGATATACACTTCCATTTCAAAAGAAAATGAGAAAATGGTTGTACGAGGATACAAACTGTCGCGCCAGATTCTCAACCGAACTAGCTAGGTGCCACATGATACTGTACGCACGATTACCTCTCGAAACAGGCTTTCGTCCCGCTTTATATATAAAGCAACAACAAGTGTGATTACGTCGACAGTAGTATATAGAGCTTGCCTTGATTGTTTTTATTTATTTGTATAAGCACTAATTAAGCAGCAGCTAGCTGTTGAAAGGCAACGACTCACCCGGGGAAGAAGAGGTAAGTGAACATGAACTGCAGGTACGTCTCGACGAACTTGCGCTTGAACCACCTCAGTCTCATCCAGTTCATGATAATCGGCTGCACGCACGCCACACCGCCGGAACACAATCAGCTAACCACCCATTACTATTCCCCAAATCGGGTCAGAACAAGTAGCTAGGCTCACGTACGGGAGCAACGAAGAGGTAGACGAAGGCGATCGCAGCCACCGGCGGCAGTATCCCCAGGAGGTCAAGGTCCTCCTCCCCGCTCACCGTCGCCAAAGCAGCCGGGGCCTGCACCTGCACGCGTGCACCCAAAACACACACGAATTCGCCGCAGCGCGATCACTGATTAATACCCATGCATGTATGTGAACTGCCGCACGGCCGGTTCATTCAAGCTCAAATGAAATTTTAAAGGTGTCCGTTCATACTGCTGCCCAGACGGCGCCGCACTGCAACACGGAGGCCAGCTTCTGCAGCTGCGAGCTCTCGGAGGTAGGGGCAGGCTACGCAAGCAATCAAGAAAGAAGGCGGATCAGATGCCACAACTCGCAAATACATATGTGTGAAGCTGTGGTTAGCTGAGACCTTGTCATGGAGAAGGCAGAGGATCCTGGACTTGGAGATCGCCGGCTGTTGAAGAGACGAAGGGAAGGTCGCCTGCCGTCTGGCTTGAAGCAGGGAGGGACGCGGCGAGGACGCAGCGGGGAGGAGGCGCCATGAGGCGGTGGTCTCCATTGGTGGCAGGCAACAGCTTTGGACGGCAGGTGGCCTTGGCGCCTTATCTGGATGGGTAGGCGGGGGTGGCTAAGGACCGGCGTCCAACTGTCTGGCAGTGAAGGATTTGACGTGCCTGCACCGTTGGATGGGGATCCAGTGGACGCCACTCGGTGACGGATGCCTCGTTCGTCTATTTTTACGTTCGAGGAGGATCAAAGCAATATTGGGACAATCCTTGGAATTTGTGTCCTGTTTACCTTATGATAAGTTTTAGATATAAGATGTCTTATAAGTGTTTTTTATGTAAATTGGATGTGTGGAATAACCCTGTTTGTTTGTCGATGTTTTTTCTATTTAACTCAAACTTAGATTAAATAAAAAAACTTTATCAAGAAAGCATTACCCATGTTAATAATATACTAGCAAATGTCCGTGTGTTGCAACGGGAGAAAAAAAATTATGAACTAGCCGAATAAGTATGACTCAATACGCTGATATATGAGCATCCTCTATTTAAACACAGTGGCTCGCCATGTTGCCATTTATTTTTCTTCGCACCCTCACCGATGATAGTCATGTTGTCCACGTGATCGCAATCCCAAGGATATGAGCTTGCCACTACATGACACACTTGTCATTATGTTGCGCAAGGGAATGGTTAAAACTTTAAGAACAAATCTCATCAACCATGAACTACTCCCAACGCCTAGATATATAAAGACTTCCAAAAAAACTAATCAAATTCTAGACATAAAAGACTTTTGAATCGGTAAACAGTTTCTCGAATCGACGGACTTTTTTTTTTGAAATTTTAGATTTTCTCAAAAAAATCATGAACATTATTTTTGTTTACGAACATTTTTTGAAATGCATGAACAGTTTTCGAATTCATGAACATTTTTTTACTCAACAAACATTTTTTGAATCGATGAGTTTTAAAAAAAAATTAGGGAACAAAATTTAAAAATTGTGTTTTTTTGAATTTCTGTGAATATTTTCTACAATTTCATGGACATTTTTTCAGACTCCCGAATATGTTTTGAATACATGGTCATTTTTTCCAAAATCATGTTCATGATTTTATTTCCCGACCATTTTTTTTCCAAATTTTGCATATTCTTTATAGTTTGTGATCAGTTTTGCAAAACCACCAACATTTTTTGAATCCGCAAAAATTTTATGATTTCCTAAACATTTTTTGAGTTCACATACATTTTATGATTTCTCGAACATATTTTTGAAAACTCACAACTTTTAAAATTTAGAGATCCCGAATTGTTTTAAAGTAGAAAGAAAACAAGATGAAAAAAGAAATGAAAAAAATGGGGAGTCAAGCCCCGCACATGGGCCGGCCCATGAACGCATGTGTGGGGGAGGACTTGCGTGAGAAAATGGAGGGAAAAAATGTGCAGGTTGGGGCGCTAGCCACAGTGCTACTTGTGCGTCTATGATTTATATTGATATCACATTTACTATAAAACAATGAAGCACGACGTTGACTTTAAAAAGAAAAATGGATTGTTTTCTTCACTTATGGGTGGCATAGTGGATAATTTATAGTAATTTCCAGGGTTTTTTTTTGAACGGATGGACAGAAGCAATAACCTCTTTATTATTATGTATAAATATATAAATCTATTCTAGGCCACATAAACACGACATCCCCTAGTCTGTACTTATTCTATGGAACTCCCTTGATGCCGCCTCCTTCCACCTATGTGCACCGAGTCCTCTCCCTTCCACCGTCAACTCACTTCCTCCTCTTTCACTCTTCCACTTACTGCTTTGCCATTATGCAAGATCTAGTTGTTTGCCATCGCTCGCAGGCCCTAGCACAAGGCGGGGCACCGAGATCCAAATGATCAGCGTCCTAGGACGGTGGTGGTTATTGATGTCTCTCGGGTTGTCCTTATTTGGGTAGGCGGGTTGATTATGGACCGGCGTGCAACTGTCCAGTGAAGAATTTGGCATGCCTGTACCATTCGATGGGGATCAAGCGGATGCATTATGTGATCTCATGCCTCCTCGACCTATTAGACATTGTAGCCAAGCAAAGTTAGAACAATCTTTTTTATGATGGGAAGTCGAAACGGTCTTTGGAACCAACCAATGCTAGACAAACATAGGGATTGTTTCGACGACGGTTTTTGCTGATATATTTTGTGGTTCTGCATCGCCAACCTTTCGGGCTCCTCGAGCGCCAGGTGAAGCGTCGATGCATTTTTGCGTCACCGACGGTGGGTGTTGGTCTCCGCTGACGTGTAGGAGCGGCGAATTGCGTCATGAAGTGCCTCGCCGTCGTCGGAGGCAGGCGGTAACAGCTCCGGTTCATATCTGGAGGACTCGCAGCCGTAGCGGCTTGACGCGGCCTATGCCACCTTCTTCATGGCGATATAATAAACGCCCCTCCGTCTCCGTCTACTGCTGTTGTGATTGCGGGCTCGACGATGCGGGCACTAGCACTGAGTGGCTCCCAAGAAGAGCAATTGCTAGCGGTGTCGGGTGCCGCTGATCACCCTGCCGCTTGACCGGGGAAGGCAGACCTCGTAGGGCGGCGTCAGGGCGCCGCGGAGCTATAGTTGCCTACCTTGGCCACTGGCGACGTCGTGGAGGAGGAGCTCCCGTGCAGCTTCGTCCGCGAGTGACGAAAAGCAATGCAGAGCACGAGTTCCTCCTCGTCCAGCACAGATGAGCTTGACGAGTCGGAGGCCATCTTAGCCCAGTCGATCTTGTCGGAGCCACTCTCAGGTCTGCTTTCGGCCATGGCAGAGGGGATGGGAGAGATTGTGGAGATGGAGAGGAGATAGGAGTAGAGCTGAGTGGGAGAGAAGACTCGTGCGAGTGAGGTTTGACTAGGGTTCGGACGACCAGCTGAGGTTTTATAGGGACAGTGGTGGGTGACGTGGGCCATACTGGGCTGGTCTAACGTGACGGCGGTGTCCACGTCCAGGCCTCCCATATTCGGCCCCACACCGAACAGCCCGGACGTTTGGGCCGCGTATGAGGAACCTGGTTGGGTGGCTTTTTTCTATTCGGCCAGTGACTGTGCAGCTCGTTCGGATGTTTGGGCCGGATATGGTGCGCCCAGTTGTAGATGCTTTCATCGGTTCAAATTATTTTTGCCTCGTTTTATTTGCCATGGTTCGGTTTGGCCAAGGAGCAACACCCAACCCTGATACCGTCCAATAAAATGGATCATGGCTTATGTGAATTGAACAGGCTGACTAATCCTGGACAAAGGAAGAGGCATGAATCATGATGGTGGCGGGCAGCACAGGCACAAATAGGCCGGGGAAAAGAAGGAATAAACTTTTGCCAAGTTGGTGTGTCAAAACTCAGGCGTGGAGGTCATGTCAGAGGCTGCCTCTGCCAGTGTCGCTACAATTACCGATGGAAGGCGCTGCCGGCCATGATCCGTGCCCGATTGACAGGTCCAGGCCGGCCGGTGCGCAGGCGCGACGTGCTCTGGGGAGGGGACGAACACTGAGCGGCATGATGATACTGGAAGTCAATGGCTACTCCATTTCCATCCAATTTAGCTACTTTTCAGTCAGCTGATTTTTTCAGTTTGGCTCAGTCGAATTTCTGGCTGTTGGATTTGTGCTTTGAGATGTGTGCGTTGGTTTTTTCTGTTCTGTTTTGTGTGGTGTGCTGGGCCTAGTTCAAATCGACTGATACTTGTTTCTGGTCATTCGATTCTGCTATTGGGCTCGCTCAGCCTTGCGGGCGCCCGTTTTTTTCTTTTGTCCGCCCGTTAACAGGCTTCTAGCCTAGCTTAGCGCCCACCGGCCCCGCCCAGCCCGCTTCTAGAATCGCTAGCATCGGCCGCTCCCCTTCTTATCTCTTCGTTGTCTGGAATCCTGTCAGTCACTTTCCCCTCGAGCTCTCCCGTTCCTATCTTCTTCTCTTCTCGTGTAGGGTTACTAATCCTGCTAGGGTTCGTCGGAGCTCTGCTGTTTTTTCTCCTCCCTCGGCTATGTTGCTCGTTTCTGCTCTCTGCTCTATTTTCATGCTATTTGTGTTGTAGGTTTTGAAGGTATTGATGTTTTGAAGCTGTTTGTGTATGCAGGATCAGTAACTGCGGATTTTCTTGGATCAAGGATTTACTTTGGCGAATCTGCTCCTTTTTTGTAATTTCTCATTCTCTTTGAATCCCCTCTATGTATCGTTTTAAGCTTTCTTGCTATGATGTTCTTTGTTGTTTGTTTTTGTAGTCATTTTAGATCTATTGTTGCCACTGATTAGGTGACCAGTGCATGGTCCTTGTTGTTTAGTGGTAGGGTTCTTTGTAATGTTTTAGGGTTTCTTGTTTCTGATTTGTTAGGTGTGTGTTTCTGTTACCTTTAGATCTGTTCGTTCAACTGATTAGGTGACCACTGTAGTGTTCTTGTTGTTTAGTAGTAGTTCTACTCTGTGCTTAGTCTTCTTTTTTGTGTATGATGCTTCAGATTTGGTCTTTATTTTGTGTGGTTAGGTGTTTTACTTTTAGATTTGTATTCTTGGTGGTAGTAGTAGTATTTGCTAGCGTTGTTTTGATTGGTTAGGGTAATTTCAGATTATTTTTTTGTGTATTACGTGCTTGTAGTAGTACAATGGTTAGTGTTTTTACTTTTTAGATTCGTCTTTTTGGTGGTACTAGAAGTAGTATGGTATGGTTCTTCTGGTTGGTTAGTGTTAGTCTAGACTTTTTTGTGTATTTGGTGGTAGTAGGAGTAGTATGGTTAGGAATCTTTTGACTGATTATGTTAAGTTTTACTTGTTAGGTTTTTATTTATTTATTAGTGGGTGAGATGAGTTTTGCAACATCTGTCCAAAGATGAAATCTTTTCTGTTTGTATACTTAATGTAATGCTCTCTTTTTAGCTTTTAGCTATTGATGCAGGTGTAATTTGAACCCCTGATACCAAATTATTTGTTTTGGTTTTTTAAGTGGTTAGGTTTGGTAGTCAGTTTGTATGTTTTAGCTTTGGTACTTTGTTATGTTTGAGCAAAGGTCAGGTCTGAGCTAATGTTATATT